CAGTGTTAGGCGATTCAGAGGAGGTCGTGCTATACGAGATCCAGACTAGAACATTTCTAAGTCACGGAGAATTGAGGAATTTCGACGTGAGTTCTCTTACCCTTTATCAACGGGATGTGAATCTTGCCAGTATATCGGGGTTCCGTCATCAGGTCTAAAATCTTGCTGGTCGTAACTCTTTTGATGTTTCTCTTTCTATTTTCCTTCTGTTTTTCTCTCTTCTCTCTCTCTTTGTCTGTCATTATTTAACTAAAAGCGACCTTAATGGCAGCGAAACCTTTTACGCACAAAACGGTTCGTAAGTGCTGTTCGAACTCGAATGCTCATCGTCCGAAGCCTCCAAATCCGTGATGCTTTCGTAGACGTGGTTGCTGATAGTTTTGCTCAAGGGTTGGCCTGGACGCTCGGAAACCACATGGCCAGCAACGACTTCCCTCCCAATGGTGTTTCTGCATACTGAAGAAGGTGGTTCTGGACGAGGACTCCGACTCGGCACGAAAACGCCGTTCGAGCCTCCGTTCTCACATGTCGCGGGATCTTCGACGTTCTCGCACGGCTGGGAATTGCCGACGACGCTCTCCTGCTGGATGCGAAGTAGAGAGCACTGTGACCTCTCGGGAGACTGAACTACGTAGAAGATTGCAGGTGGGCCGTTGCATAGGTCGTTGGCAGGTGAGCGATCCCGAAGGCGCTTCGACATCAGGAATATCGCTACCATAATGAGGATCAAGACACTGCAAGAGGCCACGGCTATAACTGCTGCTTTGTGTCCTGAGGCGTGAGGATATTATATAAGACAAATGGAGATATATACCTATAGCTGAATAGATATGTGCATAGATGGATAAGTAAGTAGATACACACGCACGTTGTTTACAGTTTATGGTAAAACCTGTTTTCTTAGTATATCTTTAGAAACAAGGAACACAATATGTTAGATTATTATTTTTTTCTTGTAAACATAGAACTAAACAAGTTGTATGGAACGAATTATTAATAGTCCATGTTATTATGCAGCTGATAAACCTGAATCTTATTATGTAAAGGGTGGATGTAATGCCCAAAGGAACAGCCCAGTGTTAAATAGGCCTAGAATTTTTTCTTTTGGCAGCTGAAATAATCAATGTTCACAATACAACATTGCTCGTAAGCAGTTTATGTTCTGTGTTAAGTAAACAATGTATGGCAATTGCTGGTTAATAAAATGTGTTGAGGTGACATATTACTTGCTAATATCAGTCACATGGCTGTTCTCCTGAGCAGTACCTCCCTTTTGTATTTGGTATGTTTATAGTTTCATCATTAATAGTAATAATATTTATCATATACGATAAATCTTGATTATACGGACTAATATTTACTGATTATTGCGCCATATGTGTGTTTATATATGTATATATGTGTATGTATGTATGCATGTATGAATATATGAATATATATGTATATATGTATATATATATTTATTCACACACGTACACGCACACACACACACACACACACAAACACACACACACACACACACACACACACACACACACACACACACACACACACACACACACACACACAGACACACACACAACACACGCACACACACACACACACACACACACACACACACACACACACACACACACACACACAACACACATATATATATATATATATATATATATATATATATATATGTGTATGTATAGACATATATAGACATTATATATACATATATATGTAGATATATACATATATACATACACACACACACACCCATATATATATATATATATATATATATATATATATATATATATATATATATATATATTATATATATACATACTGCGTGCGTGTGTATGTATGTGTGTATATAGTGCAGGTAACCTTCCATATAGGCACTGGTGGGAAGAGTGCCCCTTGTGTTATTATTTCTCTTTTTTCCAAAAGTTCACACAGAAGTAGAATAGAAACACGAAACGATAACACACCTGGTGATGGAGGAGCCGGGTTTTTCACTGTAGTGGCCGGGCCTGCAAGGATTGCACACTCAGCAGATTTCATTGAACAAATATCTATGTTAACTATTGCGCAAAAAATATTTATGTATTATAGTTATGCAGTAGGTAATCCAAGTGTATAACTACTTAAAACTTCACATCAAGAAAAGGGAATGATGCAAAATATCATTATGTTTTGTTTACTTTATAACGTCATATGTAACGGAAAAACAAAAGGCACTTTATGTGAACACATCATTTCCTAGCCACTCAAGAGATAAGTATCTATGTGTGTGTGTGTGTATGTATATATATAATATATATATATATATATATATATATATATATATATATATATGTATACAGAGAGAGAGAGAGAGAGAGAGAGAGAGAGAGAGAGAGAGAGAGAGAGAGAGAGAGAGAGAGAGAGAGAGAGTGGAGGGAAACCAATATATGAAGACATACCTGTAAACCTTGGCTGAACCGCATATTTCTGCATCTCGGTTGTGCTTCCTGAAATGTGATATTTTAATATTAAATGTTTATACCATCACCATAACCAAGTGATGTTACAATGTAACTATAAGAAATAACTGAAAGACTATATGCATTCCTCAATAAAATTCTAAGTAAAAGGAAAAAATATAATATACATACGTATGTTATATATATGTGTGTGTGTGTGTGTGCGTGTATGAGCACATATATATGTGATATATTACATATGTATATGTGTATATGTATATATAATGCATGTATGCATATATGTGTATATATCTAAAATTATATGTATATATATGTATACATATATATGCTTTACAAGCTTACTTATTCAGATATTCCTGTATATATATATATATATATATATATATATATATATATATATATATATATATATATATATATATATATATATATATATTAAATGGTTACGTACACAGACACATATAGATACGTTTGGATTTATTAATATTCTCTGTCTCTCATCCTCTATTTCTATGTCTCTCTATACACACACACACACATATATATGCACATGTATACACATATGTTCTTGTGTCTGATTTCATTGTCAAAATATGGAACTACTTACGGCCACTGTCCTCGACGCAGCCGTGCGACACACTGAAGCCTTCAGCAGCTTCAGCGTTCCTTATTGCAAGAGTCGAAGTTGTTATTTCAGCGAACTTCTCGAGTCCATGTGTTGCGGCTTTCTCCACATTGCCCATTTGAAGTTCTAACTCGTATCGACTGACTGTGACATGGATTCTGAAGGACAGGTCCCTCGGCATGGAAGGTAAGTCATCGCCAGTGATTTCCTCTCGACCAATATGGCCGTGGAGTCGTATTACCCGAAAATCCGACTCGTGATTTAGTGTCACGTTCATGACAGGCGTCGCTCGGAGGTCATCCTTGACTGTCAGGAGTAGCCCCAACTGCCAGTCCTGTTCGTGGTTCGGTTTCACGCCCACGCTGACTGTCCACGAATCTCCGTTCTTCTGCAGAGGTTCTTCGAGAAGGGTTCCAAGCGTCGTCACCTCGCAGCCTTTGCGAAAAGAAGGAAAGTCATAATTCCAACTTCTTTTCATTAATGATTAATTAATTTATTGATTATGAATTATGAGATACGAGCTTGAAAAGAAAGAAAGAAAGAAAAAAATCACCTCGGATCACCATCGGCAGCACGAGCGTCATCACCACAGTCGTCCAAGTCATCGTTGCTCCTCGCTTCCCTCTGCACACAAGCGCTTCTCGAGGAGGCAGCAAATGCAAACATGCACTGGCCGTTTGCATTCGATATGTTCTTCCCTTATCTAACTGCTAACGACTTGTATTTGTCTAAGAACACGCGCGACCAGACTCTCCGACGGCGCCTCTCACACTGCTCGTCTGCTGAAGATGCGCCGCTTCCGAGAAACAAACGCGACGCAGGAGATACGGAGGAAACTGTTGACATTTTTGCACATGTATCCTCACCTGAAAATTGAACTGTGATTTTAATCCGATGGAATTTTTTTTTCCATTTACTCAACCCCGCAACTGTGCCAGATTCCTATCATATGTATGTCCGTGATAGATATGGTTGTTCAGATACGACCACACCTGATATATACATACAGATACAAGAGGTCTCCCATCTCCTGATGGCCTGACCTGCTACATGAACAATAGCTTTTATATATTACAGACTACATTGTTTTTACTGGTCAACCTGTCATAATTTTATAATTTACAACTCACTGCTGGCTAATGTTCAAAGCGACTAATTAGTGGCATACTGAAAGTGGTGTGCTGAAATGTAACAACATAAAGCGGCTGTAAATAAGATCACATTTTAATCGCTTTTGGTATCAGGAAAAACGAAATGTGCAAAAGAACAATTCGCTAAAAGGGCGACCTGATCAAACTAGTAGCATATTACGTTTTTTAGAAGCGCCTTTGTTAAGAAAGCGAGAAAAAGATCAATCACTCTTCAGGGTTTCATTGAGTGGAGACGCGGACACTAAAGAAGAGGTTATTTTGCCACTTGAAATTTGCACTTGTTACCAGGACCTAGGACTGGAAGTGGCTGCAAAATCCTGGGATTTCTGCTCCCGATGCTTGCGCCTCAGGGCATCCAAGTGCAGAAGCCGAGAGTTGCCACGACTGCATTTCTGCAAGCGACGGGAGGCATAAAGAATTTCCTTGACCTAAGTGTTGCGAGTATAAGCATTTTTATCACCTGTTGCAGCCTTTTACGTATTCAGCAATGAGTAAATAAGTTTTATCGGCAAAAAAATACAGTGTAGTCTGGTTATATCAATTAAGATTTACTTTTCATTACCAGAAGTGAAAATCCCTTTACCTTCTAAAAACGTAAATGTTAAAGTGTACATATTGTGATAAAATTGGTATACTATTATTGCTCGTAACTCATAATGTCATGATGTTGATTTTCATGACTTCATTTGGCTTTGAATGCATTGTTCGGGGCCATATGACAAGGAAGGAAAGTATAAGGGGACTGAAGTGAAAAAATAAATGCTTCTTATTTATTTATTCACACATGTGGGTATACAAAGTCATAGCAAGCAAGTCAATACATAATCACAAATTGCCAAATCATAATACAGGCTGAATAAAAAACATCAATAATCAACGCTTACACAATACATAATGAATTAGTTTGAAGAATGTTACACTAAACCATTAACATTCCTCTATCGCAGCGATATAGACATACATTGCAACAAATTTCATTTCTGTATACTTCTCATGACCTCAAAAAAAAAAAAAATAATAATAATAATAATAATAATTACAGAAAATGCAACTGACGCCGCGAGAACAGCTGTCAAAGATCTCATGCGCAGTGATCATCATAAATGCTGTTGCGGAATGACTGCTGTGCCTCGAGTCCCTTCGCTCCCGTAAATGCTGTTTCTCTCTGACCGGCTGCCGGACGATTCTTCAGCGTCAGTTGCACTCTCGTAGATGTGTTCATCGGGAGAACATCTTTGCTGGTTGTCTGCGCAGTCCGTGTACATCGGTTCTTCCATTTCACTTAGACTGTCGTAGATGTGTTCTTCGGGAGAACTCTTTTGCTGGCAGTTTGCACAGTCCGTGTTCATCTGTTCCTCTGCATCACTTGCACTCTCGTAGATGTGTTCCTCGAGAGAACTGCGGTGTTCGTCCACGCACAGTGCGCTGCCCACACCCGTCTGACCTGAAGCAGCCCAAGTGGCGTGCGCAGTGCCCTGGGCAGGCGTGGCAACGTTTGCGCAAGTGTTTTGGGGTGAAGCGTGGAGGCTGACGTCCCCCTGGGCGTGGACGGGGCGTGGTCCCTCGCCCTGGTCAGAGCGAGAGGCCGCGTTGACAGGAGGGCGTCCGCGCAGTCGCCTCGAAGCGCAGTAGATCAGCCAGGTCGCTGCCATCACGAGGGCCGCAGCGCCGCACGAAGCCGCTGCTATGACGAGAGTCTTGTTCCCTGTGTTGTGAGACTTATTACATCAAACTAGTTATGTCAGTTTCTGAAATATAAGAGACGACTGTGTGGATTGCGGATACATATATACTTTAGATATGGGGCCGAATTCTCAAACACGTTAAGGCGCCGTATCTCCTTAAGGCGCCGTAACTTATGGCCGTGTGTTCTTACGGCCTATACACAGAATAAGGGACCCGCCATATTGGTTAAGGCAGTGGTTAATAATGGTTACGGCGAACCATTAATGACATTTGTCAGCCCTAGAACAATGATACATTACAAATTTAATTTATTCAATGTACATGAACCAATCGTGGACCAATAAATAAGGCAACAAGTGTAATATTCCAGTATAACTGATTAGCTTTTCCCATTAAATTAGGTTAGGTGTATCTGTAAACATGTCTTTGTCTCGGATGTAATTATTTTATTCATATATTTTTCAATTGTTCTTGTTATTGTCAGTATTTACATTATTGGTAATTCCTTTTTATTAGTTATCTTGCACATTTCTTCTGCGTTACTTATTCTGGACACAGCGTTATGTTTACAGAATCAGCTGATTGGCATTTACGGCTTGTGATTGGTCAGAATTCCTTAAGAGCCGCCTGAAACAGCAGCTGTGATTGGCCATTGAAGATCTGACGCCTTAAGTGATCTGCAGCGCTGCGGGATTTAAGGCGCCTTAAAAAATATTTGTGCATACGAAACTAAGTCCGAGATACGGCGCCTTTAACTATATCGCTGCAGGACCGTTAAGGCACTGCCCAGTGTTAAATAGGCCTAGATTTTTTTTCTTTTTGTTGCTGAGATAATTAATGTTCACAATACTACATTGGTCGTAAGCAGTCTGTGTTAAGTAAACAATGTATGGCAATTGCTGGTTAATAAAATGTGTTGAGGTGACTGATATTACTTTCTGATGTCAGTCACATGGCTGTTCTTCAGTGTACCTCCCCTTTGTATTTGGTATGTTTATAGTTTCATCATTAATAGTAATAATATTTATCATATACGATAACTCTTGATTATACGGACTAATATATACTGATTATTGCGCTATACGTTTGTTATACATGTGTGTATATGTGTATATATATGTGTATGTATGTATGTATATGTATATATATATATATATATATATATATATATATATATATATATATATACGCACGCACATACACACACACACACACACACACACACACACACACACACACACACACTATATAATATATATATATATATATATATATATATATATATATATATATATATATACATATATTATATAATATATATATATATATATATATATATATGTATGTATAGACATATATAGACATTATATATACATATATATGTAGATATATACATATATACATATACATACACACATACATATATACATTGCGTGCGTGTGTTTGTATGTGTGTATATGAAATGCAGGTAACCTCCCATATAGGCACTGGTAGGAAGAGTGACCCTTATGTACGGCTTTGCTCTTCATTCCCAAGAATTTACACACGAGTAGAATTG